CTCTCTCTCTCTCTCTCTCGCTCGCACACACACACGATGCGCAAAACTCAGCATTTGAACAGTCAATAGCAATTTTGCACCGTGTTTTGTCCCACTTCTCAAGAATGACTGAAATACTTAAATTAATAACAAAACGGTAGCTGATTCAGAAGCGCCAGATTGTCATACCAAAGTCAGAGTGACCTCCTCTCCTAGGTTCATGAAACGGTGGTCCATAAAATGCATTGCTGTTCTGTTGTAAGTAATCTTAAAGATTCCTAAATGCATCTACTTTCGGAAGGCCAAATAAAGTGCTTTTGCTTTCGCCTAGAAACACACAGCGTCTCCCTGACATGCTGCTTCAACACTAACTGCGGTTACTGAAACCACGCCTTCTTTCTTTGCATGTGCATTTGGGCGCATTATGCAAATATTTCCACATAGTGAGGTAGATATGTGGGGGCGTGTTAGAACGAGCCGTTTTAGGGGGGCGTGGCAGAGTCTTAACTTTGATAAAGAATATCTCTTTGGTTTTGAGACTTTAGTCTTTGCAACTTTACAGATCTTCTTTATGCACCAAGAGCTTGTAACACTCCAAAGAGAAAGGAAAACTTGAAATCGCATCATATGACCCCTTTAAGTATCGTGTTGTACACTCCAAAAAATATTTAAGCCTAAATTTAAGATTTATGTAGCCTATTTGAATTCCATATCAAATTAGTGAAATTCCATCTAACACGAACTAAGAAACCTAATTTGATACATATTTGTCAGTCATACATAAATGAAAGAGTTAAGATTTCTGCTCTCAAAAAAAAAAAACTATTATTTGCGTTTATTTGATTCTAAATAAACACATTTTCAAAATGCATTTATATAAATTGCTTAGAATCGGCATAAATCTTTTCACCGTGAAAACAATTTAATTTATTCAGTTAAAAAGTATGAACCAGCATTCAGTTTATTATTACAGAAAGCGGAGCTGTTTTATTCTCTGTATTATCGAACTGGATGCATTTGATATGCAATTCGAATATATAAATCTTGAATTTAGGCCTGAATATTTTGTGAGGAAGTGTGAAGGTGCATTTACCAAGGGCAGCTGCTGCGATAAGTCTATGTATACATTAAATAAAGGCTTGGTTAAAAACGCAAAAAGCCGAATAACAAGAGATCAGTACTGACCTGCTGCTGGTGAGATGCAGACAGCTGATCTAACGCTAATAAAACACACTTACGTCTGTGTGCATGCTGTGCCCTTTCCAGCAGAATCCTCCGTGTTGTGCTGCTTTGGTCAGAATATCTTCAGAGATCCTCAAATAATGATTTTTCTCCCAGTTGGCAGAAAGTGTCCTTCAACATCACAGGAGGAAGTCTCGTGCACACGGATGTTGTTGTTCCAGGACAGATGAACTACATATTTGCTGATGTAGACGTCAGTCTTGAGCATAAAATCTTGATAAACTTGTATTGCTAGTATTGCAAAAAGATCAAGCCAGTACCACATGATTCAAAAATTCTGGAGAACAAATGCTGCACAAAACAAATAGCTGACACACATTTTAATGGGGAAAATCCATTAAATGCATGACTGTGAGTTACAGTTTGACATAGTAATCTGTAAGTATACATGATGATGAATACATATCCATACAACTGCATAGATGGCAAAACGAATAATTATAAAAACTAAAAGTTATCATGGAGTGTCATCCTACAATGCCAGAGAAAGTCTTGTTCTATTCTGTTAAATAAATATACAGCAAAATATCTGACAATCATTTACCCTTAATAAGTATACAAGCTCTTGCTGTTGCGTATGAATTAAAGCAGGGGCCAAAACATTTAGTGATAATTTCTGACCTGTGGCCGATGTGAAAGTGCATATAGTTTTGTTGAAGTTTTTACAACCCTTAAAATGAAGCACCAGTGTCACATTTACTGACGCAAACATGGTTGAACATATTCAGACAAATGTCAGTGTTGAGCTTACAGAAAAATAAAAAACCTATCAAATCAAACCAGCAAAAACAAAGTGAGTTTCCTATGTCACGTACAGCACAGCAATCCATGTTTGGATTATTTGGACCGGTTTCAAATCAGAAGCAAAATCATTTTTTCATAAATGACTGTAAATACATACACACATAAGTCCAGTAAAAGCTGATATTAGAAATTCTAATCAGACTGAAGCTCATGGCACTTCACATCTTCACCCTGTTTGATTCTGTTACCCAAATGATGAGGATGGTTTTAATCTGAGCTAGTCAAATATAACTGGGTCTCATTCTGTTCTTTTCAAACCAAAGCCCAACTAAAAATGTGCTTTTCCACTCCTCCCGCTTAGAAATATTAATCATACAGCAGATATTTTAAGTGCAATAAGTCATAATCTTTTATCTTAAACTAATGTACTGTGTTGTTGTATTTCGATAGCAACTGCTTTTGTTAATTAAATCACAAAAGTCCAGAAATTATATTTTGCATGAAGCCGATTTTTCAGACAACTATTTATTGCATTATGGCATTATATAATCATTATATAATATATATGTCATCCATGACAATTAAGCACATTTAAACCCCAGATTCTCATTACTGCAATGACAAAGAAAATGATATTGAAATTATATATATATATATATATGCAGTGTTGGGGGTAACTCATTACAAGTTACGTAATCAGATTACTTTTTTCAAGTAACTAGTAAAGTAACGCATTACTTTTTTAATTTACAAGAAAATATCTGAGTTACTTTTTTAAATAAGTAATGCAAGTTACTTTTTTTTCCAATGTATTGACTGACAGCTCTCCTGTCCCCATGTTGAGAGAAATCAGATGTTACTGTAGCTCTAAAATAAATATGAATATGCATTAATTCATCTCACTCACAAAAAACAAAAACAGATTCAGTATTCCTCAAAATGAATTTTAAAAGTAACGTAACGCATTACTTTCCATAAAAGTAACTAAGTAACGTAATTAGTTACTTTTTTATGGCGTAACGCAATATTGTAATGCATTACTTTTAAAAGTAACTTTCCCCAACACTGGATATGTGTGTGTGTGCTTTGAAAATGTGCTTAATTGTCATGAAATTAATATTATAATGCAATAAATCTTAATGGTTTTAAAAAAAAAAAAGTCCAATCTTTTTTCTTTAGATGTTGGGGTGAAATCTGATATTTTTTTCCTGAAATTCACCTAGTTTAAATGCTTTTTAACATTTGCATTAATCGGTGGATCATTTTAATTAATTAGTTAATTTCTAAACTTTTATTTTTTTTTAAATCAATGGACCCAATAAACCCTAAAAAAAAAAATCTCACTAGGATCATCGATATTCTGCAACAGAGAGATAATCAAGTGCAATCAAATGGTCATAATTAAGATTCAGCCTGGGTTATTAGGATTAACGGTTCGTCAGATTTTAGTCGAAACACCTTAAACAGAATCCGAGCACGAGACAGACGCCACTGTTATATCACCATTAGTATATATGAGCAGGGGAGAGAATTAGACGAGAGAAGACTGCAGACTCCTCCAGATCTCCTGGACTGTTAAGAGACGACGCAGCCCGTGTCCTTCTGCGGCTTCAGATCCGCCTCCTTCACCGGCTTTATCTCCTCATCGTGCTTCGCTTTTGCCTGGGGGGGGGGAATAATCATTAAAAAATGGCAATATTTTAATTGCTAAAATCAATATATAGTTTGATGTAAAAATGGTTTCTTTTGCTGATGAGACATCATGACAGTCAGTAAAGAGGCGTCCACTAAGAGCAGATACAGAATGCCGTCTAATGTAAAAATACAATTTAGAACCAAAATTTATTTGCATTTATATTTAACACACTATTAATTATGAATATATTTAGGTCAAAGACAGAAAGGTTTTCAAGCATTAGAAAGTGTCTTGTTTAATTTGACTTTTTTAGGAGCATGATTTACAGAAGACACCTACTAAAATGTCATTCAGTGTAACAATAGTTTAAATACCCAAAAGTCTTGTCAAGCATATTTACAAGCAGAAGCATTAGAGGACATCATAAGACTCAGTGCAGCTTCCCTAATACTAATTAATTGTCATTTTAAATCATTCTAAACATTAGGTTTGACCCATTTGTCAGCAAGAGCTTTAAAATATAATACAATTTTGTATGATAATATTTTCATTTATATATTTATATATACAGTACCAGGCAGAATACGTATGTTGTTTAATTTTTACATAAATATATCTGTTACGGTGAATGACGATGGACCTTTATTTCACTGTTTTAGAAACACAATGCATTAAGAGCAGAAAACTTTTGAGCAGGCTGAAGTTAGTTCCATTTAGTACTGCCCTTCAGAAGACAAAACAAGTACAATTTACCCTGACCTTCAAATTCAAAAAGTTTTTACCCCCTGCTCTAAAGGCATCGTGTTTCCTTCTGGAGCATCAGTCAAGGTTTGAACCTTTTGTAACAGTTGCATATGAGTCCCTCAGTCGGAAAAGATGGATCTCAAAATCAAAATATATCAAATATGCAAGAGATGCCAGAAAACCATAGAATTTGCAGGACCTGGTTGATTTTTCTGAAGAACAGCGAGCAGTTTAACTGTTCAGGACCAATAAGGGACTCGTGAATAACATAAACAAAACATAAAAACAGTTGCTGATCATCTAATTCTTGACACAGAATTAAGAATCAAGCGCATGTATGATCCCTCTTATTTTAGTAATTCATATTTTGCATATACACTGCCAGTCAAAAGTTTGGGATCAGTAAGACTTGTAATGTTTTTTTAAAGAAGTCTCTTCTGCTCATCAAGGCTGCATTTATTTGATCAAAAAAATACAGAAAAAAAACAGTAATCTTGCAAAATGTTATTACAATATAAAATAATTGTTTCTATTTTAATATCCTTTAAAATAGAATTTATTTCTGTGATGCAAAGCTGAATTTCCATCATCATTACTCCAGTATAAAGTGTCACATGATCTGCAGAAATCATTCTAATATGATGATTTATTATTAGAATTATCAACAGTTGTGTTATTAATATATATATTTTTTTCAGGATTCTTTGATGAATAAAAAGTTTAAAAGAACAGCATTTATTCAAAATATAAATCTTTTCTAACAATATAAATCTTTGCTATCACTTCATTTAACACATGCTCGCTGAATAAAAGTTTTAATTTCTTTCAAAAAAAGAATAAAAATGTACCGACCCCAAACTTTTGAACGGTAGAGTATATTGTTTGAAAAGATTTATATTTGAAATAAATGCTCTTCTTTTTAACTTTTTATTCATCAAAGAATCCTGAAAAAAAAGTATCACAGTTTCCAAAAAAATATGAAGCAGCAACAGTTTCAGCTCTGATAATAAATCTGCATATTATACTGATTTCTGAAGATCATGTGACGCTGAAGACTGCAGTAATGAAGCTGAAAATTCAGCTGCGCATCACAGAAATAAATTACATTTTAATGTATATTAAAATAGAAAAACGTTATTTTACATCATAATAATATTTCACAATATAAAAATTTTTCCTGTATTTTTTATCAAATAAATGCAGCCTTGATGAGCAGAAGAAACTCCTGTAAAAAACATAAAAAATTGTTAGGTTCCCAAACTTTTGACCAGTAGTATATATATATATATATTTTTTTTTTGTGTGTGTGTGGGAAAGGAAAGCTCTCCTCATCACCTTGTCTTCTTTGGGTCCTTTGGTCAGATCAAAGCTGGCGTAGACTTCAGGTGTGCACTGAGCGCTGAGAGGCGGGAGCTCGAATGAACTCGGTTCAGCCAAACCATAACTGGCCTTCAGTTCCAGCGCTGGAGCTTCAGCAGGAACCTTATGAAAGTAACTGACACAGAAATGCAGCCATCAAAACACAAGTTCTCCAGGAATGGTTTGATCAATAAACGTCTTCATCCGGACCCATGTTTGACTCACATGAAGCTGTTCTCTCTCTGGCATTTCTCCAGGGTGTTTTTGATGAACGTGCCCAGTTTCTTAAAGAAGAGCTGTTCCGAGGGTTTGGCCGTGCTGCCGGGACCCTTCATCTGACGGTACTCTTTACACAAGGCTTCAGCGCGGGAATAAACTGAGGCACAGAGATTCAATACGACCATTAACAGGAAAGAGTTCACCCAGAAAACATGTAAGAGCTCGAAATAATCCCAGACTAAAAACCATTACAGCATCATTCTACTAGAAAGTACTCTACTTCAAAATGTCATCTTTGTGTTACTTGCTGTTTCTTTGTAATTCATTGTGAGATTTACTTGCAATTTCTGAGTGAAAAGTGTATAAAGATAAATTGCATATTTGAACCATTACACTTTTCTTTCTTTA